GTCAGTGCTGGTCCAAACTCCCCCTGCTCCAGCCTTGCTGCAGAACATCTCACCATCTTCAGTGTGTTTTTTCTCCCAGGGCTCCTGACTCTTTCTCAAGGCAGCAGCTATTTAAAAGGGAGCTGGACGCCGTGCTGATGTTTGCACATTCTCTTGGTTTTCCTCTCACCTTTAGAAGTTCTTTGCACGCTTGTTTGGCTTCCCGCAGCACCTGGCACGGAAAAGTTGGGATAATGTCACGGTTGCCTGCGAAGCCGTGCCAGTGTGAGAGCGGAGCCTTGCCAGCCCAACGGCATTGATTAGTGCAGAAGAAGCAGGGCAATCCAATTATAATCGCAAGCGCCATTGGCTTCCACAAATTCTTACCAAAATAACAGTGAACTCTGCTGCATTAAGGTGGTCTGGGCTGTGACAACAGAGGGGAATTCATAGGGCTTAGGGAATGCAGATTAAGCAGAAGAGTTTAAGTTTTGAATGCTTTATTACCTATTTACATGTCTGGTGGAAAAAAATGGTATTTTTGGGTGGGTAGATGCTGGCCAAGCCCCTAAGCCTGCTTTGATATTACAGAATATATTCCTTAATTCCTTGTTTTGGAAATTATTACAAAGTATTCTAAAAGGAAACTACTCGTGAAGAATAGCTAAGAAGTTTCCTATCGTTTACATCTTGAGTATATTGAATATTCTTTTGTTCCCTAATATTATACTTCCTCTAACTTACTCAGTTGGTCAGATAAGGAAATGTGATATTTTTCACCAGTGTGACAAAATTGAAGTAAAGCTATAAAGCGGAGGACGGTTGTCGCCTGGAGTCTGGAGCAGTTCAGATCGGGCTTTCTATTACTTAACAGAAGGGAACAGTCCCTTGTGGATGAATCACATTCAATTAGCTGTTTCCTATGATGAACTGATTAAAAATTAAGTGGCATCAAATACAGCTGATTTTGCTCTTACATTTAAATAATGCTCTAATTACATACTAATCAGATGGTAAATCTTAATTGTACACGTTCCATATGTTTTACTTGCCTTCTCTCTGTCTTTGGTTTGTCGTCTTTGTGTCAGCATGGAGTATATTTTCAGGCTGCTTTTATGTTTGGCCTAATTGAATATCAAAAGCAGTATATGTGAAACTTCCTGAATTCTATTCTTTAGCCAGTGGCAGCTGTGCTATTAGATGACCTTTACCATTCCCGTAGCACAGAATAATAAAGGGAGGGGGGGAATTGAAGCCTAGCCATGTTATTGTTAGAGACAGAAATAAATCATATATAATTGCCTCACTATGAAGGCCAAATCCTGCTGTCCTTCATGCCTGAGTTAGAAATACAGGATTTGGACCTTTGTTTCCTGTGGTTTCCTGGCCACCTTGGACGTGCCCAGAATCCTCACGATGCCGTGGTGGCTAATTACCATCGGCGGCTTCGAGCTGCAGCCGAGTTCCTCCTGCAATAGCACAACTTGGCTGTGGGTGACTGTCAAGCTTAAGTGTCATTCACTTCAGAATGACTATTTGTCTTCAAAAGTTAAGAGAAACTTAAATGTTGGGTTACATGGTGGCCGTCTACCAAGTGCTTCTGCTCTGGCTCTCTATTTAGAGCAGACCCGCTAGCTCTTGGGTGAAATAAGTATGTCTCTTGACATAAAATGCACATGGTTTAGACAGCACTCAGTGCAGAGTGTACTTTATGCTTTTTTTCTGCTTTTTAATCATAGGTCATGAAAATAGTCACAAAAAGAGCAAGCGGAAACACTGGAGAAAACAGTGGGTAGAAAACAGCATGTTGTCTGATGTGGAGACCTTAAAACATAGCCTCAATGTGAAATCATTTTCTATGGAGAGCAACAAGACTGGGAACATCAGTGACAAGAAGAGCCACAGAAGGACAAAACGGTTTCTCTCCTACCCTCGGTTTGTCGAAGTGATGGTGGTGGCTGATAGTAGGATGGTTGCCTACCATGGAGCTAATCTGCAGCACTATGTCCTGACATTAATGTCAATAGTAAGTCCTCAAATTGGGGAAGTAGTTTTGACCCATGGATCTTTTTTTTCATAGTAGATGCAGAGCTTCCTTTCTGCTGCTTTTTTGCATGATGCCATCCATTGGCTTCAACTCAGTGTGGAAGTGTTTCTGGGATGAGAGTGAAGATTGGTACAACTTGGTTGGGGTTCATGGCTCTTAGCTGCTTTTTGCTGGGAAGTGAGCAGCATCCAATGCAGTCATCTCCCTACAGTGAATTTTATCCCATTAGAGGGTAGAAGTGCAGTGGATACGTGATCTAAAAATGGCCATGTCAAAATGAGGCAGTAGGCAGAATAAGTTGCTTTTGGCACTCTTGGCCAGTAGTTGTCATATGTCGGAGCACAATGATGCTGTTATATGGTGAAAGACCTGTTAAAGCAGGACGAAACTTAATGTTTCTGCAATACTAGCAGTTTTCTTTCATTCTAAAATTGTGCTGCTGGCGGAACTGTTTCGTTCAGAGGTGTGCAGAGGGTTCATGCATGGTCAGGTAATATTAGAGCACAGGTCGGAGCAGAACAGCAGCTCAGGACAAAAGCAGCTGAGGAACAGAAAACTTGTTTGTGGTGTCTTAATTGTCTGTTTTCTTGAATGTCAGTGATAACTCAGCACTTCTTTTTGGAACAGGTAGCTTCTATCTACAAAGACCCAAGTATTGGAAATTTAATTAATATCGTTATTGTGAAATTAGTCGTGATACATAACGAACAGGTAATAGAAGTGATTTTCTTCTGCTTTTCACAGTGACATCTGTAGTAAACGCAGTGATAAATAGTTAAAGTATCTGTTTTCTGTGTATTGCTCGTTAGGATGGTCCTGCAATATCTTACAATGCCCAGACAACATTAAAAAACTTTTGTCAATGGCAACAATCCCAAAACCACCCTGAAGGAAGTCACCTTCAACATGATACAGCTGTGCTGGTTACCAGGTATGCTGAATTTTCTCATTAAAAATATCACCTGTTGTTTGTCAGAGTTGCAAGCTACAAGCTTATAATACATGCAGCTAGGGGGAACATTTGATGTTTGATGTGGCTGTAAGGAGCACAGTTAGGAGAACATATTTGCCAGAGAAGTGGGGGAGTTTTAAAGGGTCAGGACGGTCGAAGGTCTGGCTATGGACCCAACATAATGAAAATCTCAGACTGTGGTAGGGACTTGCTTCAGGTTCCTGTTACAGGGTGTGACAAAGTCAGCTTGGAGGTCCAAGAATTGTTTTTGCCTTTTTTTATTATTATTATTAGTACCGTGCTTGTTCCGTAAGTCATTGCTGCAATTGAAAATTAATGTGTCAGGTCTGTTCTACTTTCAGACAGGATATTTGTAGAGCACACGACAAATGTGATACTCTGGGTAAGAAAACTCCTTTTTTTTGTCCTTTATAGCTTTTGTGTAGTGACAATGCTAGTTGTATGTGCTTTTTTTTATTTTCTCTGCTATTGTAAACCTCTCTGTTCTCTTCTAGGTCTGGCAGAGCTGGGCACAGTTTGTGATCCATACAGGAGCTGTTCAATTAGTGAAGACAACGGGCTGAGCACTGCTTTCACAATAGCACATGAACTTGGCCATGTGTACGTCTTATGTAAATGCATTTACCTTTAAATAGCCCCAGATTTATGCTCGCTAGTACTTGCCAGCACTAGGAGTTGGTACCTGCTGATTCTAATTGTCTGTAAGGAAATGAATACACCTGGATAGCAGAGGTGCCACCAAGGAAGTCCAAGCTGTGGTGTGAGTGTAGGGGAAAGTGGGATGTTCTGCTGCCCAGCTGCAAGCAGCAGAAACAGCAGACCCACAAGTGAGGGAGGGAAAAGTGCTTTTGAGAGGGAGCAATAACAGGGTACCCAGATGTCGAGCAGTTTGTGCAGAGAGGAGCAGAGCATCCCATGTTGCTGAGTCTCCTGGCACCAACATGCAGCCAAATCTCTGAGATTTCTGCAATTAAGTCTTAGTCCTTTTGCGCCAGCTGGCTTTTTGGTCAGGGCTAGGCAGCTGGGTGCCCTGGAGAGGAACAGAGCAGGTAGCATGAGTGGGTTTCACCCTGTCTTTGGGATTGAAATCTCCTCAGGAAAATTCCTGGGGCCACCAGTGCTCATCCTGCCCTGATGTGAGGCATTCATGAAGTCAGCAGAGCAGATGTGTGAAAGCAGGGACTTGGCCACCGTGGCTGGCAGATGCTTGAGATATGTGACCTTGTTGCATCTGCTTGAACTATTTATTTACATGGATACTTTCACTGAAGAGTTGCTCATGTTACTGGATATGCCCAACAGAGACGCAGCTCAATGGAATTTCCCTCCAGTGGAAATCTCTAACTGACTTTTAAAGTTTTCTGAGTGCATAATGGAGAAAAATCTCTTAAAGTTACAGAGTTCTTTAGCCCCACAGTTACAGCTCTGTTGGGCAGCTTATTCCATTGAAAACCACCTTACACTCGGTTTGCAGTGGTTGTGGGATGGATGAGTTCTTAGGAACAGATCGCTCATTGTTTTAAGCACTTTTTTTTTCTGTGGAAAGGGCTGGCTCTTGTTTAAATGAGATTTCCTGACAGAAATTCCCCAAAGGTTTGGCTTTCCCCACACCTAAACAGTGGCTAATTCCTATGCTAATGCTGCCCCAAAGCTGCTGGAGGGGCTAGAGGAGCTGCCAAGCAGCAAATGCTTCTTTGCCCTTTTACAGGGAGCAGAGCAAAGCATTGGCTCCTTCAAGGCCATCTTAACGGGATGGAAACTCCCAGGTCCTTGAGTGTAGGATCACACTAGGTCATTTCCCCTTTTCCACTTCAAGTAGCAAAGCAGTTTAAGCCGTTCTCTCTCCATTGTGTACTTGCCACATTCTTCAATGTGTCATGTGCTGCAAACTTCGCCTGGTTGATATTGATGCTTGATGGCATCTTGTCAGCCTACCATGTCAAATATGGGAGCCAAGTTTGTCCCCAGTGCAGCCTTATTTAGGCAACAGCGCAAGGAATGAATGTGGCCCAAGGTATTTAGCAACGTTAGAAAGTGCCGTACAACCAACCTCTTTCCTGAGGCTTGGGACAGCGGTGACCAATAGGCCTAGGGATTCCTCTGCTACAGAAACTTAATCCCCCTGATCACCTCTTGGCTCATTATCTCAGTTCCAAAGCACTTCCCGTCTTCGTCGTGGTGGGAATGGTCTCCAGCCTGCCTGCAGGATCATGGTTATCAGTTGGAAGGGAAACAGCATCTTATACAAGGCTCCCTCAAGCACTTGTCATGCTAAATATATGCAGTTGCAGCGTGGAGAGCTTTAGTAGGGGCCTATGTAGCTTTTTGCAGCCAGGTGCTAGCAGAACTGTTTGAAACAGAGCCTACTGGTCCTTTTGAATATGTGGATATTACTACTTGCGTTCCATAATGGCTACTAGGATTGCATCTAGGAAAAAATCTTGGTCTAGCTCGTTTTTAGTTCAGGCTATTGCTCTTGCTATACTAAATACTTGCCACTTACCCAGCTGTACTGGTCTGTGCTGTGTTCCCCTTAGATTTAACATGCCACATGATGACAATCATAAATGCAAAGAAGATGGAGGTAAAAATCAACAGCATGTCATGGCGCCAACGCTGAACTTCTACACCAATCCCTGGATGTGGTCAAAATGCAGTAGGAAATACATCACTGAATTTCTAGAGTAAGACCTTACTGATGTGTGTGTTAGGCTATCTTATGTATATATTTCACCGGATGCTGGTTAATCCCAAATCCCCCTGTGCAGTGTTTGGAGGAAATCAGAGGCATTTCTGTGTGCAAGCACCCTTTACATAGAGCAGGAATGTGCCCTTCACATCCAGTCCCTGCCAGCTCTGCCTTATGATTAGCTGGCAGGGAATGGCCTCTCTATGGGGAGGAATAAGTCTTCCCCCCTGGATATTGCTTTTAAGGAATGCGCATTCTCCTCTAACCTGAAGAGTGAGTTTTCCAAGACCTGTGGCCCAGATACGGAGTCATATCCGGCATAGAGCCAGATGCAGAGTGTTAGGAGGCAGACGGAATCTGCCTTTCTGCTCCACAGGTCATGAATAGCACATGGGGTGATGGTGAAGGTAGGCAGCCTCCTGTGCTCTATAGTTGAGTCTGCAGTAGCTGTTTTGATGCTTGTTAAATATGACAGATGGGGTGCACGTCTGGCGTAAGGGTAACCAAAATAAAAATAAATGTTTTGTAGTCTTATCACTTCCCAGTTTAACATCATTTTCCTGCTTTATGTTCTAGCACTGGTTATGGGGAATGTTTGCTTGACGAACCTTCATCAAGAACTTACACATTGCCTCAGCAGCTCCCGGGGCTGATTTATGATGTCAATAAACAATGTGAGTTAATTTTTGGACCTGGATCTCAAGTGTGCCCATATATGGTAAGTGCAGTTCCATGCCTTGGTTTTGCTGACTTTCACAGATCAAAATAAGGCCTCCCAGCATTGGGTGAACAGGGGAAGGGGCTGGTGTAAAGACTACACTCACCAGCTCCCAGCTGGTTGGAGCCTCAGCTCCACTGCTTGTGGGGATGCAACAAGCCATCAAGTTACTGTGGACCTTGTGAGTTAACTATAAATCCTCATGGGACATTTTTTTCTTTTTAAAAAAAAAAAATATATATATATATATAGGATCATGCATCCTGTAGGGTGTGTGGCAGCTGGGATGAATGTATTTAATATTTCGCTGTGTTCAATAACTTAAGCAGATGCAATGTCGGCGACTTTGGTGTATTAACATTGATGGAGCGCACAAGGGATGTCGAACTCAGCACACACCTTGGGCTGATGGCACCGAGTGTGAACCTGGAAAGGTCTGTAACACCTCCTCTGCATGTCAGTCTGTACATCTGTATGTACATCTGTAGCTGTATGTCAGTCGCATTCATCCTATCCCTAGGGCCAGCTGTATGGGGTACAGCATCTCTCTCTAGCTTCTGCCCAGAGCAACTTTGTGTGTTTTAAGCATTTCATACAGGGATGGGGGAGCTATATCCCAAATAATGTGATTAAAATCTACTGCTTGGCATTGTTTTGTTTACTGCAGTGCTCTTTTTTTTTTTTTTGACTGCTTATCTTACTTGTTAAATTAATATCCTTGAGTGAACTCATGAGCAAAACTTTTGCAAAGCTTTCCTAGAGTTTTATTGGAAATTTCCCATGTAATGTGAGTAATTAGTAATTATACATAACATAAACTTGACAACTGGCTTCTCGTCTTGACAGTTTCAGAGTAAAATATAGAACTAGCTGACATTTTCTGTATAGAACCTTTTTGACATTTTTTTTCATAAAAACTTTTTTTTTTTTCATGTGCAACGTTAGGTTCCAACTAAATATTCTCCCAACTAAATACATTTTTGAGACTAAGCTTTTAGTTTTCACTTGTCCAGATCTGCAGAAAAATAGCTGGGAGTTGCGGTGGGTTTTTGTTTTTCTTTGATTATTTTGTTCTGTTTTTCTTTCTTTCTTTCTTTTATTGAGATGCTAAACCTTTTGAAGAAAAATGCCAACTAGTTTTCAGCATTTTTGTCTGAACAAAAGCGTAGCTTAAATTACTCTTGCAGCAAATTAATGATCAGTAGTTAAAACTTTCCTTGAAAAGCTCGGCATTTTAACTTATATGGTCTTTCGAGTTTGGATGTTGTTTTTGATACAGTTTTCACAAAGGCTGTGGGTCTCCCTGGCAATTAATCTTTTGTTACGTGTGTCTGAAAATCATTTTTGAACACTAATTTCATTCAAAGCAGTGGGCATGATCTATCCGTTTGCCTTCATTATGGAAAAGTGGAGTCAACCCAGGCACAGACTTGATGTTTTTAAGGTTGGTAGTGTATGGCAGAGATATTGCTGGAATTGCAGTATTGCTGGAATTATTCCTGCAGCGGTCTTTGGAGCTAGTGGTATACCAATATTCACCATTTTATGTAAAATCCTCCCCACTTTTTTTGAGTATCAGGATAAAGCTTATGCATCTCTGAAGTCCCCTCTAGCCCCACTTAAGTGGGACACCTTTGACAGTAGATCTTGTATCTTAAGCTTCTCCACTTGTGAGTTTGGGAGGTGCTCAGAACTGTCTTGTTCAGAAAACTGCAGTTTTGTGCAAACATATCTGCAGTTACCTTGGGTACGACTAGAGTTGAGTTCATGCAACTGTGGATGAGCAGCACAAGTTAGATAAGGGTGACCTGAATTCCTCTGCTGGGAGCTGGCAGGATCCTGGGCAAGACTAATCAGTTGAATTGCCTCCAGGTGTTTGAATATGTTCTGGAAGAAAGGTTTTGTGTGCTGTATCAGTGTGTTGGCCTAACTCAAGCTTCAACTTTGGATCATCATAATCCCTATCCTCCCCACTATTTTCTTGGGCTTGTAGAGTGCTGAGATGCAAGTCCAGGAGTGAGTTTTGTTGGAACTAATCACTGTTTTGGTGCTCTGCTTGGCTAGGAGCCCTGTCAAACTGCTGTGTGCAGACCTTGCCCCAAGTCTGCAGGGTTCAAGACCACGATATATGGGTTGGCAGACCATGCTATTTTTTTTTATGGAGGTACCTTTGGAAAAAAAAGAGAATCTGAACAGCTAAGAATAGTCTAGCTAAAGCTACTGGAATATAGACTTATCCAGGCTCTAAAGTTATTTTTAAATGAAAGATATTAAAACAGTGTGGCAGTAGTAGTAGCTTATGCGTATTTTGTATGTGAGGGCACTGAGATTGATACCATTAAATCAAATAACAGGCCTAGACTTTGGCCTTTGCTGGGTGCGCACCAGTTATGGTCATTTTCTCTGCTTGACGGTGCCTATGCCTTACCAATTTGAAATAAATCACTGCGGGGCACAGGAAGAAAATAGCAGCTCACACACTTGGGCCTGCCTCTCGTGCAGCGTTCAAGGGTGTTTAAAAGAATGGTAAGAGCAGTGTAGATGAATAGTAATCATTTCTGTCCCCTCCCTTATGGCAGCAGGTACCGTATAAGTTATGCATGCATGAAGCTTCACAGCGCTTGTCTGCCCCCCTGCTAATCTATTCAGCCAAATCAGCCCAAGTCCGGGAGCTGGTTTTGGTGAATTATCCAAGGCCCCTGTGGCAGGACAAAGGGAAGGAAAGGCTGCTATAGAGTCTCCTTCCCCACTGCTGCTCCCCTCTTCAACTTCATGTCCATTTAAGTTATTTTGAACCTGCTCCAGACAAAAACTCTTTTATTCTCTCCACTCTCTGATCTGCAAGCCCCTAGGATAGAGCACCCTGGCAGACTCTTTTTTTTTTAATCTTTCTGCTGTAATTCGGCGTTGGAATTATTTTAAAAATAAAAAAGACACGAGGGTTGCATAGCCAGACTATTCACAGTGTGGTTCCAAGAAACACCCCTGCATTTCCATAAGATAATCTTGCTGTTTATTTAAAATAGCTGCTCTTTCCCCCCCACACCCCTTGATTCACTATCAATTTGCTATCACTGCAAGCTCCCAATTTGGAATAAAACCAAGAGATTTAGGTAATTTCCTGGTTAATCCTCAACCGTCGGATGGGAGACGTATAGATCACGTCATGCTCTGTTAGCTGTGTATATTCACTAGTTAGCTATTCAATCTGCGGGTCAGCGGTGCCAAGCATGACTGTGTCAACGTTCCTGTAAGGAGTTCTCCTCCAGGACAGTGTGGTTGTACTAGTGCCGTGTGTTTTTGTACGCTGACAGTAGCTGCCAGACCTCTTTGTCCCTGTAAGTGACTGTCAGGGTCCCCATTCCACCCCCTTCAAAGGCCAGGAGGAGGGATACGTCACCAGGGCTGGTCCTGCAGCAACAGAACTTGACGTTTCAGCTGATTTTATTCTTGTCCTTTACTGGAGCAAAAGCTTTTTAAGATAGTGTCTGTCTGGAGAGTCAAGTCTTCAAGTGGATGAAATAAAAAACGATCTCTACTGCTTTGCTTGCTCTGTCTCATCTGTCTAGATGTACAGGTCAGACAGACAGTTGGACACCATGAGATGTCTTTGGCCTGACTTTGCCTGAAAATGACACTTTTCCTCAGAACATTCCCTTAGGTTTTTATAGGGGATATTTCTTGTGGCATTGAAGAACTGTCCTGCGTGTATAAACCTCCCATCAGTTTTGGAAGTCCATTAGATTCAATCTTTGAAGTAGAAATGAAGTGAACAAAGCGTGTTGGTAAATTAGACCCATTGCCATGAAGATCATCAGCTATTTTCCTGCTGGAATGGCACCTGATGCAGTAAAATATGACCAGGGACTGTTTTGATGATGCATCTACATTATTTTTTTCTGGAGTTGCTAAATTTCTTCTAATTTGTGAGCCATCAGCAATGTTTGGGTTTTGTGTAATTGCAAAAATGTAGGTATCCGACAGCAAATAAGCACCCCTCCAGGTTTAAATCTGCTTCAGCAAGAGCTATTCAAGGGGAGGAAAATCTTTGCTTTGGGGATGTTTTTTGGTATTTTTCCATCAGTCCTGATGAGGCTGGGATGTACCTTTCCCTTGCATCTGCTCTGTCTGGAGAATTCTGCATGCAACCAGTACACCCAGAAGAGATTTAATTTGAATGATAAAAATAGTGGAGGGAATAGAGTGCCAAGGTAATTAAAATCAGTTTTCCAAAGAAAATAGAGAAGAGTTATAGCTGGCAAATGCAAGTGTAGACCAGGCCTTGGCAAGTCCCATGTTATGGCTGAGAGAGAAAAATACTTTGGAGCGAGGAATTCTGTGGTTTTATTTGCCCTTTTGAGTTGGAACTTTCCCTCTTCTCTGCTGGGGCTCCATGCAGCTGTGGAGAGGTCTGAGTTTTTCCTGTTATTTGCAAATGTTATCCCTGTTGTGCGTCCCCTGTTACGACACTCAGTGCTTCCCGCTGCTCTCCAGGAAATTGGATAAGCCATTTTTCAGGAGCCACCAGCAAGCAGGGAGCGTTTGGTGATGGTGACTGTCCTCGGTCTGCTTCCCGTAAATCACGCCTCTGTCGCTTGCCTTCTCCATTTAAGGGTGCAAAAGACTGGAACTACTTATTTTCCTTTCTCTGCAAGGAAGATAATGCAATTTGAGGGGAAAACCCCGAATAAGTGCTTGAAGCTAGAGCTGAACACAGAGCACTGTCCTCAGTACCCTCTGTGCTCCTGGAAACTTTCTCAGCTGCAAAATTTGGGTAACAGCAAAAGTGAAAATGATTTTGGTGTTGTTTTTTGTTTCTGTTTTTGGTTTGGGAATTCTTTATTGCATTTTGAGCAGGATATTTGAGGAGAAGCAAGTGGATCTTGGCATCGGGATTGATGGCTGATGAAAAGTAATGCAAAATTCCCCTTTCCTGTGTGTGTGTCTTGCCCGCAGCACTGCCGGTTCGGGATGTGTGTCCCCAAGGAGCGGGAGGCGCCGGTGCTGGACGGCGCCTGGGGCACGTGGAGCCCTTTTGGCACCTGCTCGAGGACCTGCGGCGGGGGCATAAAGACGGCGATCCGGGAATGCAACAGGCCCGAGTAAGTGCGGCCACGGGATGGAGGGGAAAAACTGGCTGAAGTCCCTTTCTTGGGCATGGCCCCCAATGAGCCAAGTGTTTTGGGCCAAACTTTGTATCGGAAAAGTGCTGGAGAGAGGGGATGGATCATGGGAGGGTGCTGGGCTGCGCATATGTCTGTTTTCTACCATTTTTATTACCGTTTGGGCTGTTTTTGCTGCTGCAGGGCCTTGAGCATGCGGGCTGTGCAAACCAGCCAAACTTCAGCAGAAATCTGCACATAGCAAGATAAAAAAAAAAGCAGCACTTAATGTTTGCCATCGCCACGGAAGGCAAAACCCTGAATCCTTTGAAACAGCAAAGAATTTTGCCACGGGCTTGGAGGCAGCAAGTGCCCAGCCTGCAAAATATTAGTGCAGGGTTGAGCAAGCGGGTGTGAAAACAGTCTGGTTACGTAAATGTTCCTCCTCACCGACCATTCCTTGGGCTCAGGAGGGCAAAGGGGGTTGCGGGGCTGGGTCTGCCTGTTCCCGTCTTCTCTAGGTGCATCTCCCATTTCCGCAGGAACTCATCTGGTCCACAGAGATTTTCACCACTTTTGTTGGTTTTTCCCCAGTAGTTTGCATGGGTTCCTGCCATCAGCGTTCCCATTCATGGACATTGCAGAGATGTTGCAATGGGAATAAAACGTGAATCAAAGTCACCACTGCATGCTCTCCCACATCTCCAAGCTCTTCAAAACTACCCCAAGTAGGACTAATTTCTGCTTTGCCACCTTCCATCAGGCGGGAGAAACCAAGCTACGTACCTGGCGTGAGCTCCACAATGGTTTCCTTTGGCCTTTTGTATTCAGAGAGGGTTTTGCTCTTTCTAAGCTTTCCCGTGTGCAGGGATCTGGGGAGGTATCTTGCATGCCGATGAAATCCTCCGCTAAATCCGGCATGGAAAATGAACACCCTCCCCCCGTAGCAGGCCAAAAATGAGTGCAGCTCCTGTCTCCATGTGTAATGTGCTCTGACACCTACATGGATGAGTACTTTGCAGGACTGTAGGAAGCTGTAAGCCTCTGAAATGGAAACAGACTGTGTTTTGACATACACTTAAGGAATGTATTAGCTAACCAGACCAGACCCTTCCCGCCAGGATTGCTTCCTTGGGAATTGCGGGCGGGATGGTACGGACAAAGCCCATGGCTGCCACACGTCACATACAGTGCCTGGAGGGGCAAGCCCTGCTTTTCAAAGCAAGGCATAGCTGCAGTGTTAGGGGAGGGAAAAGCATATTTCATACAACGGCGATCCCTGGAGCTCTGCTTCCAGGGTGGCTTTTGGAGTGGGTCAGTGGCACGTGGGCTAGCTCATGTCTGCGTTTTGCTCTGTTGCTAGACTTCTCTACCCGTGCCAGAAACCTTCCACATTTGCTGCGCGAACTCCTCTATGGATGAACGTGCTGGTTGCTGGCTATGTGGATGCCAGGGTTTGCTAGGATGTGGTGGTGGAGATCTCAGGCTGTAGCTCTCCTGGCCCACCCTGAGAGTGGAGATGCCAGGGCCTGCAATGGGGTTCCTCAAGGTTAGTATTTGGGTGCCATGCACTGTGCATTAAATACTTGAGTCCTGTTGAGATGGAGTTGGAATAAGTCCCCAATATTCCCTAGAGCTGTTGCTGTATCCCAAGAGTTTTGCCCCTGCTGGGAGGCATCCAGCAAAGCACAGGGATGTGTGAAGGAATATCCTTAGGTTGAAAGCCGGAGTCTGTACCGGCTTGTGCCTGATGAAAGTGATGGTTCAGAGATGGAGGGAGCTAGGGCAGAGCAAGGTTTCTATGCATGCATTGCTTCCCCTTCCCTGTGAGGCACATGGTGAATGATAGATATTCATGAAAACATTAGATAGCACTGAAGGATCCAGTATTTCTTCATGACACTGAAAATTGATGTTATATGAGGCTGACTTATTTTTCAGGGTTGGCTCTGTTCTGTTTACTCAGACTCGGTGAAAAGCAATACTAAATCTTCAAGGATTTAAGAACACATTTAAATCGTCGGAGTTTGTGGGGCTGTGTTGAACTGTCAGGAGTGCAAGTGTGTTCAAGGCCCCAGCGCTGGTCACAGGGAGATTTACTGCCACTGTTACGAATCTGACAGTTTGAAACGAGGTAGCAAGTTTTAGCATCCTTTGGCTTATAGCGAGCCCGTGTGTTTAATATGATAGCTCAATCTCATGGATCATGTCTAGAAAAACGGTTAGTCCCTTGGGGCCTTCAGATCTTATTAGATGTATTCTTTTTTAAAAAGCAAAAAAAAAAACAAGATGGGCTGCATGTTGTTATTTAATTATAATGAAGGGGAGACATTTTTTACTTTTCTCTAAGAAGTAAGACTCTAACCTATACAAGCCTGTTCTCAAACCACAGCAGTGCTAGAGAAGTATCTATGTTTTCAAAAGCAGGTAGAGATGATGTTAGCATTTCTTGTGATACCACAGTTGCAAATAACTTGAAGACACAAGAGAGGGGAATTGTTATGGATGGGAGGAAAGACACTGCTCTCCCTATCAAACACCTGGGCATTTGATGTGTCTGTATCTAAAGAGATACTATAAAATTGTGCTGCTCTAGGGGCTTGCTGCTCTGTCATGCATAGAGACACTTGTGTACATGCATGGATTTTCTGTTCATGTCGTGTTAAGGAAACCCTGACTACATATGGTGTGCGCACCTCCATCTTAATTGTGCCTTTTGGAAGTTATTTAATTTGCACTGTAATATATTTCCTTCTATCATCCAGGGATAGCAAAGCTGCTTGGTTGGTACTGCAGTTTTTATTACAGTTATTAATTGTGGTAGCTTGTAGTAGTCCCACCACCCCCCAGAGGCCATTTATCATGAACAAAAAGCTTGTGGTAGGTGCTCGCACAGGCTCTGCTGCCTTTCCAGCTCCCCGCTGGAGGTGACCTCCTCTTGCATCGCCCAGCTTTGCTGCCCAACAGCAGCTTTGCACTCCACAGTATTGGCTAATCCTGTTTCTTCAACTTTTTTTTTTTTCCCCCAGATTTGGGGAATTTTTTTTTTCCTTTTTTCCTTCTTCTTTGGAGGGGCCTGGTGCATTTGCAATGTCAGGAGTGAGTGTTTTTTTTTTTTCTTTGGAAGGAGAGTTTAAAACCTGGGGCGTGGTTTTTTTTTTTTTTTTTTTTTTTTTTTTTTTTTTTCTGTACTGACGGGCCTGCAGAAGGCTCTGTGTAAACGAAGGTCATACAAAATTTTACCAATTCCTGGTAGAAATGGCCTTTGAACTGCCAGCAAGCAAGCTAGCCTGTGTCCCTAGGGTGTTTTTCTGGCAGCATTACATTATCCAGCAGATTTCTCCTAGGTCTATCCACCGACTTTTATGTGGCTTGGATCATATCACTTTCCCCAGCTGATACAGTACTCCTCTTCCTGTAAAAATGGGTGTGAAGTTTGTGGGTGTTTTTTTCTTGCTTTCCTGCATGGCTTTATCTGAAATAAGTGAAGATTAAGTTATTTAAAAGTGCCTGGCATTACCATTGCCACCCCCTGGGGCTATAAATGCCTAAGATGAAATGGAGACTGCCCTGCAAAGTTGTCAGCTGTCCTTTCTAGTGTGCTCTTGGTTATTTGCAACCCAGGTGATCATATGCAAAGTCCCAGCCACCAAAACTGTAGGACTGATGAGGGTTATGGCCACTGGAGCTGGTCCCCCTCGCTTATGGCATCCCTCAGTATGAAACTAAACCCCTGCCTGAGGAGAAGGGTGTTGCTCCTTTCTGGCTTCTTTCTACTGCTGCATCAGAGAGCAAATACTCCCTTTTTTCCCCCCTGTTCTTTTTTTTTTTTTTTTTTTTTTTTTTCCTTTCTTTGGGTTGTTTATAATAGTCTTTTTGTAAGACACCCACATGCGTGGTCCTTTCAGCTGGATATTCATTAAGGCTATGCACAGGCAAAGACAGATCCTTCAAAATGGCATTGCAGGTAGCTGCTGGACAAGCTGCAGGACTAGAACCCTGTCCCATCTCCAGTCTGGTCCCAAAGTCATCCAGCCCTATGGGAAGATGCACCGGCAGGGCCTGCTCTGTGCAAGCGTGGTCCATAGAAAGGTCTTGGATGATGGTGCCTTCCCTGAGCTTCACGTGGGTGGAAGCCCTTGTGCAAGAGCTTGGTGGAGATGGAGGCCCGAGATGGAAGCCTGGAGATGGATTCTATCCAAGCAGAGAGGTTCAGAGGATGCAGGAGGGTTAGAAACCTCTACCTGGTAAATACCCACTTAGGGAGGAGGCAGGAATGGATGGGGCTATTTCTGTGTCTCCACAGGCCTAAAAACGGTGGCAAGTACTGCGTGGGCCGCCGCATGAAGTTCAAGTCATGCAACACGGAGCCGTGCTCAAAGCTGAAGAAGGACTTCCGCGACGAGCAGTGCGCCGACTTCGACGGCAAGCACTTCAACATCAACGGGCTGCCCACCAACGTGCGCTGGGTCCCCAAGTACAGTGGAAGTAAGGAAGGAAGCGCGGCAGCCCGCGCGCGGCCTGCCGTGTGGAGACCACCCTAACCCGTGGAGACCACCCTAACACGCTCCCGCTTTTTTCCCCCCTTCGCCCCCAGTCCTCATGAAGGATCGGTGCAAGCTCTTCTGCCGCGTGGCGGGCAACACGGCCTACTACCAGCTCCGCGACCGCGTCGTGGACGGCACTCCCTGCGGGCCCGACACCAACGACATCTGCGTGCAGGGGCTCTGCCGGGTGAGCCCTTTTGCTTCCCCTTTAGCGAGGGCGAAACACAGCATCAGCGCCCAGTTTTGCAAGGCGGAAAAGTCGCATTTCTGCACTTTAGGTGTCTCTCCCCACCATGAGTGATAAGAAGTTTGGAGCTCTTGGGCCATGCCTGGGTTTTGGGAAGAGTCTTTTGTTGCTGAGCAAATCCGAGCATAAACCCAAATCTGGTCCTTCTTTGGTCTACCCTGGGTTTTCTCAGTCAGACTTTTTATTTTTTCCTTTTGCAGTTATTCTTTATGCCTTTCTCTGGGGGGATTTCGGCAAGCTGCTCACGAGTCAGCAGCACCATGGGCTGGTGCTGAGCTATGCAGGTCGCTGGCAGCAGAGCCTTGCCTGGGAATACCCATGCCCAGCTTCCAATGGCGAAAAATGTGGGAAAGGGGGTGATCCCCTTTCCTGAGCAAATATGGTATCCAAGAAGCAGGTAGTAACAAACTGCTTCGGGAAGATGTCCCAGACGGTCTTAAGGCATTGCCTGGTGCAAACTGCCACCCTGGTTCTTGCCGTGTTAAAAAGCCTTTTGTTTAACAACAGCGTGGGATGACCGCGCTGTAAATCAGTAAAAAAAAATGCAGGGAAGCAAAGCGATTTGTCTCATGGCAGCCTTTTTTTGTGCACAGATCTTTTGTGCAGCTTAATTTGGGGATTTCTAAATGCTGTGTTTGCTTGATCTAGCCTTTTGCTTTTTCTCTTAAAGCAAGCTGGGTGCGATCATGTGCTGAATTCAAAAGCAAGAAGAGACAAATGCGGCGTTTGTGGTGGGGATAATTCTTCGTGCAAAACTATTGCAGGCACATTTAACACGGTGCATTATGGTAAGACTCTGTTGCTAAAAACTTTATAGAGAAAAATGCAGGTCTATAAAATCAATTTCCACACTTAATCTACAAAAACACTGATGCAAAATGCAAAATCCTTCCAGCTATCGCATATTCCGTTTTGTAACTATTTATGCTATCCCTAAGTGAAAAGTACTGGCTTGTGTAATGCAAGGTAATTTCCCCTCATTTCACTTCCCCCATAAAAAGCAAATGAGATGTCTGTGTAATAGCCTTGACTTTCTGTTGATTCTCTCCCAGGCTATAACGTTGTGGTCCGCATCCCAGCTGGTGCCACAAACATTGATGTGCGTCAGCACAGTTACTCAGGGAAACCGGAGGATGACAACTACCTGGGTGAGTGGCAGCACTTGCTTCAGTCCAGAATCACTCTTTGCTTTCTGGTTTTGATGGTATTTCTGCTGGCCATCTTCTGCTAAGACGAAGAGCTCGTTTAAGGAGGTGTTTTCTTAATGAAAATATTTCTTGTGTGCCCTACAAACATAAAGAGCCAGGTCTTGTTCAATCTCTTGGTGCATGTCCAGTTGATAGGACAGCCATCCTTGATCTGGAGCTTGAAGGGCTCGTGGATTATATGGAATATCCCGTTCTGTGGTGGCGCGGAGCTGGGAACAAACCAGATTCCTGACTTCCCTGGGAATCTCTTAATCATCACAGAATGCTTAAGGTTGGAAGGGACCTCTAGAGATCATCTAGTCCAACCCCCCTGCATACGCAGGGTCACCTAGAGCACGTGGCACAGGACTGCGTCCAAGTGGGTTTTGAAGATCTCCAGAGAAGGAGACTCCACAACCTCTCCGGGCAGCCTGTTCCAGTGCTCTGACACCCTCACTGTTAAAAAATCCCGGACTAACGCGTCTCAGCTTTCACCATCCTCTGGCTGGAGAATAACTATGCTACACCTAGAAAGGCATGTTTGTGCAAACAAATTCCAAGAGGAATTAGTTTCTATTCCATTGAGAGCAATGCTTTTGACTGCACGTAGGCTAAGCCCTTTTTGTTTCTACCAGACAATGACATATAATTCAAAAGAAACACCCTGCACCAAAGAAATTGTTTTAATTTAACTTTAATGATAACTTGGCCTTAATCAATGTGCATTCATAATGACCCATGAATTGGTGGCTTTGTCTCCAGGGATGTATAAAAATGTGCTTGCAATACGATGCAAAATCACTATGCTGCATGCACGTCTGCTGTTCCACCAGGCCGAGCAGCAGTTTACTCTGCAGCAAGCCCTGTGGAGGGCAGCTAGTGAAGATAATACAACTGCAGTTTGCACCTGATTGTATACGTGCCCTGCAGAAGGCTGCATTTGCAGCTTAACGCTGTTTGTGTCCTGAGTCCATTCTGCAATGTGGAGAATGAGGCTATGGCTCATGGGGAATGTGTGGAGAGTGGGGCTATGGCTCATGCCTGAAAGGAGAGAAGGGGAACCAAAACAACAACCATCAGCTGCACTCCTGGTGCCAGGGTCCCTCATCAGATCTCTGAGCAAGGAACTCCATCCCATTTTGCGAGGACAGCTTGCCCAAACAGTGTTGCTGCCGCAAACCTTGCCGAGCTATGATAGTTTCCCATCCTGAGGGAGAGAGGTGTGGTTCCTTTCTCCCATTTTCCAAGCTAAAAAAAAAAAAATAGCCTTCCCCACACTGCATCCAGACTCATCCCCTCACAGCAAGCCCCCCTCTTTTTGGAGGACCCTTAATCTTCTTGGGAAGCAACAAATAAAATCTTCTTTAATGTCGCTTTAATATTGCTGGGAAAGAATCTCTTCATCTTAGGCCCAAATGACAGCGAAGGAGAAGTGTGCATGTGCCCACTTATTTTTCAGTTCACTGGCTGTGAAATCTTGGGCCCTCGATACTGTGAACCTTGTAGCTGCTTAAGAATTTAGGAGGAATTTGATGTTGTCATCAAGTCTCACACACAGTCCTATTGTAGGAAGATACAGTAAAAGGAAAGGAATCCTTTAGCGCGTTTTAGGACTGCCTAATGACATTAAAGCCTCCGAAGGAAAGAATTTGGCCGAGTCTGGAGTCTCCTTTGTGAATTTGCCTCCATCTGTATGTGTTTGCTACCAACCAGGGTTTTGCTTCATTATCTCCCCTTGTTCAGTGTAATACCTTCCCTTTTGGTGTTTTGGTGTTAAGTTTGGATTTTTCAGTGCAGAGGCTTTGTAGTAATGTAGCTGTGATGGGTGAAATGGTGGGGAAACTGACTTAGGAAATTAGCTACATAATCGCATTAGTGTGAAGTTGTGCAGCAGACTGCTGTTTTCAGGAAACTGTTCCTTTTATAAAGCATTTAGGCTTTAAGCCTTCAGTACTTCCACATACCTTAGATTTGGAATAATAAAAATGTAAGGGGGTGGGGAGAGGACAGACTGAGAAAGAGGTACTAACCAAACTCCCTGAATTCATCCAGTAGAAAATGAAAATTTGGGCAATTAGCTTATGTAGTTGTAGCCCTTGGGTATTTCTTTACCCTTGGCTTGGGGTGAACCATTTGGGAGCAATTCTCATTTTAACGGGGCTCTGCACTGGTGAAAAGAAAAGGGAGGATGACCATAAAACCTGTGCTGCTCCCTTTGCCTCCTCTCTGTTTGAGGAAAAACAGCAGATTTTTTCACCAAACCCAACGAAAGGGGCCACCGAGAGCGCATGACCTCTTTGTATGTACGTATGAGTTAATTCTGTGTCTTTAGTTCTTGTTTTTTGCACTTATGCAGCCTTATCTAACAGTCAAGGAGACTTTATATTAAATGGAGACTTTGTCGTCAGTATGTTTAAAAGGGAAATCAAAGTTGGGAATGCCGTGATCGAATACAGCGGATCAGATAATACTATTGAAAGGATTAATTCTACTGATCGGATTGAGCAGGAAATAACACTTCAGGTGAAGTACATATATGTCGCGCATGCATCTGTTGGACTGAACATGGTCGACAGTTTACCCATCTTATCTTTTTTTTTTCTTTTTTTTTCCGCCCTAGGTTTTATCAGTGGGCAATTTGTACAACCCTGATGTTCGCTATACGTTTAATATCCCCATTGAGGACAAACCACAGCAGTTTTACTGGAACGCCTATGGCCCATGGCAGCCCTGCAGCAAGCTCTGCCAAGGTAGGTGCTCAGCGATGCTTCGGGGACGATGCTCTGCAGCCCTGTGGCTGCCTGGGCTCTCAGCAGTGTTAACAAATACATCCCTGTTTGCTTTCTTTGGAATTCTCCCATTATGGGCTCACGGTGGCCAGGAGCAGCTTGCAAGGGGTAGCACTTTCCTATGCGCCTAAAATGATGTGTTTTCCTTCTGCGCAGGAGAAAGGAAAAGGAAACCTGTGTGTACGAGAGAGTCAGATCAGCTCACTGTGTCAGACCAAAGATGTGACCGAATTCCCCAGCCTGATCCAATAACTGAGCCCTGCGGCACAGAATGTGAATTAAGGTGCACTCCACTGTCGTATATATAATTACATCATCTGTGTGTATATATATTACGTCATGTATATATTTATATTATAAGTTATTCTTCTTTCCTTTCACCTCCTGCCATAACTGCTCTTCTCAGCAACCTCTGCTAGATTTTTTAAAAAAATAAAAAAAAATAAAAGGTAGACGTGCCCCGGGCTCCGGGGCTCCGTGTCACACCGCAGTGGCTGACGGGCTCTGCTCGCCCTTGCTGCAGGTGGCACGTGGCTAGGAAGAGCGAGTGCACGGCCCAGTGCGGCCTGGGCTACCGCACGCTGGAGATCTACTGCTCCAAGTACAACCGGCTGGAAGGGAAGACAGAGAAGGTCGACGACCGCTTCTGCAGCAGCCAGCCCAAGCCGAGCACGAGGGAGAAGTGCACGGGGGACTGCAACGTTGGGGGCTGGCGGTACTCGGCATGGACAGAGGTATGGAGGTGCTTGGGTCTCCTTCACTCATCCCCTCTGAGGACACTCTCCAAGCTGTCAAGTTTGTAAATGACTTGTGAAACTTGGCCACGGTGCTTTCACTGCCTTCTCTTGAGGATGCTAGTCCAAGTCAGCCTCATGCTCCTTATTTTCTACTGTGATGAATTTACACTTTTAGCTCTCCTGACACTGGTCCTCACCATGCTAAGTCCGTCTTTTTGTTCATTTTCTTTCGTACAAGGCTGCCAGTACTAGTGTCAGTGAGGCTGTCTTGCCACTGGTGGAGAATCTTTCAAATGTATTTTCTTTACGTTTTTTAGCAGGAAGCCTTTCAATGCCCAAGCATGTCCTTGAAGGCCAAGGTGTCACCAAGTGGCTTTCCTAAATGAACACAGTGCCAGAGGGGAGGCTAGTTAGAGGAAACAAGCAGGCTTTTGGCCTGCAATAGGGTGTCAGAATGTGTTTACCGAGTTCCTCTTCTTCCCAGTGTTCTAAAAGCTGCGGCGGGGGCACGCGGCGGCGGCGAGCCATGTGCGTTAACACCTACAACGACGTGCTGGACGACAGCAAGTGCAGTCAGCAGGAGAAGCTGACGGTGCAGCGGTGCAGCGACTTCTTGTGTCCCCAGTGGAAAATGGGCGATTGGTCCGAGGTAGGTGTTGCTCGACAGCCAGGACCCATGAGCTTCTGCCTTGAAGCCTGAGCAAAGATACTTGCTGTTTTTCCCTGCCCAACCATAAACAGGGTGTGCAGGAATTGGCTTCATCTTGTTTTCTTTGTACAATCTGAGGGCCATGTCCCAGGGCACTCACTGCACCTCTCCCTGCTCTTTATTGCTGTCCTCTCTGCTGCTGCTAGCTGGAGTCCTTTGCTCCTTAAGAATGCAGGAAAAAAAAACATGTTAATAGATTTTTCCCCACTGCACAACCAAGGATTTGGGAGAGTGTTCTTCAAAGGCTTCACCTTTGTGGCCAAATAGCTCTTGCTTTTGTGCACTGCATCCTGTTAGGAAATAATGAAAGAAGTTACAGGGAAATGGGGGCTGTTGACTGACTGACAGTGGTTCCCAGCAAAATATCTCTGATCTGGTTCTAGCTCCTACAAGCCTGAGCCTTTTGGGGGTGGTGGAAGAGACGTGCAACCCGCGGGAGCTGCAAGGTCTTTATCACAAGCTCTTCAAGGGCAAAATATTGCATTTGCTCTATTTCAGCAAGCCTTCGCAGCCCTGTTGCACCCTGCTAGAGCCCTGGCAGGCAGGGCTAAGGCTTTGCCCCACATCTCACAGCTAGAGCAAGTTGCTATATCACTTCACGACTGTTTTTCACGCTTCAGTCTGTGCTGCAGATCACTTCCTGTGGGGCAATCCCTTATCCTGGGAAAACGCTCGCATATTTTCCAGGCCACGTGTCTGCTGGTTAAAGCAATGCCTCTGAGCACCGCTTTCAAGGCGGTGCTTTGCAGCAGGTTGCCCTCGGCGCCCCTGAGCCCATGTTTGCTCCCTGCAGTGCCTGGTCACCTGTGGGAAAGGGCACAAACATCGCCAGACCTGGTGCCAGTTTGGCGAAGATCGCTTAAACGACAGGTTTTGCGACCCCGAAACGAAGCCGGAGTCGGTGCAGAGCTGCCAACAGCAGGAGTGTGCGTCGTGGCAAGTTGGACCGTGGAGCCAGGTACCCAAAAGGCACCTTTTTCTTCATTTTAACTCCGTGGCATGACTACGCTAATTGATTTGTGCATGAAAACACCCTGAGTTCAGCATATGGGCAGCAGTGCCAGTACCTGCCCTCTGTGCTAAATTTAATCTGTGCCGTACTAAATTGGCCATGATTTTAAACAAAAAAAGGAGTTTCCAAGGTTACGCTCCTAAATACATATTTAGGTACTTAAATACGTGCCCTAATTTTCACAAAAGCTGTTACCATTTCATAGCTGATTTTAATGTTTTCCAGTTTGTTGTTTTTTTAATATTAAAATACAAATTGCTCATTTCTTTCAGAGTCTTCTGGCATCTTGTTTTCCTCAAAGCTATTAACTGTTGGCTTGAAAAAAACAGCAGCAAACCCAGAGCAGTTGCCCCAACCAGACTTACTGCCCATTAGCAAAATTATTCATTAGCTAGTGGTTCTACTGTAGCTCTGAGCAGCTAGTTTAGAAGTAAGATATGATCCTGTTTCTACCCAACTGTAGTTCATCATGTTCTGAAGACTAAATCATGTGAATGTTCACACCTACATACCTGTGGACAAGAAGTGAAGCAGTGGTGAATTAAAACTTTGACTTAATATGAAGCTAAAATGCCTGAAGCAAAGGGAAGGAAGGATGGGTTTTATTTGCACTGTTCTTGCTCCATGTTCAGCTCAATGTTTCCTAAACGAAGCGTCTGCTCAGAGCCCGGCCATTTCCCCCTGTTTTTCCTCCTCAGTGCACCGTGACGTGTGGACAAGGCTACCAGATGAGGGCTGTCAAGTGTGTGGTAGGCACCTATATGTCGGTGGTGGATGATAACGAGTGTAACGCTGCAACCAGGCCAACAGATACCCAGGTAAGTACTGTTATGCCCATCCTCCTCTTCTGGTGCCCCCCAGGCACGAATAACTTTTTCTCTTAACTGATGGTCCCTGCTGCTTGGGCACTGATGCTCCTGAGAATGCTCTCGAGTATCAATGGGTCTGATCTTCCCCATGGGGTGTAAATCACTGCTGCTCTCTCAGCGTGGGTAAGGACACAGGTGGCTCTGACCTGTGTCACTAGGGCTTGATGGAGGTGCTGGATGGCCAGATCATCAAAAAGGCAACATGCAGCTTGTCACGAGGGCATCAAGACCTCCCGCAACAAAAACTACCTTTGATTATGGCTAGCCCTAGTCATAGGGCGGGATACACAAAGGGTTGTGCAGATTCACAGCTAGAGCTGGTCCTAAGAGCCCGTGAGCTAGGTAGGAGGTTATGGGTGGATATAGGAAGACAGAGAGGATGAGGATGAGCTGGGGACAGCATTTGCTAGTGGAAGAGGATGGAGTCTCAGTGCAGCAGACAACTTCCAGCTTGCTCTGGTCTAGATGCTTGACTGCTGCCTGGACTTGCTTGGCTCAGCACTGTTGCTGTGTAACGTTAATGACAGCGAGAGGCTGACGCTTCTCACGTGCTGGTTGTGCCAGCGTAGTGGGTGTTCCAGCTCCAATCCTAGCTACAACCCCTCTGGGCTGATAAACTGAGAAATATTGGCCATCCTTTGGAAAATCATTAAGAGGCTTCCCATGCTGGATTTGCTTGTATTTGAAAGCAAACTCCCTGCAGGTGTAAATTTCCCTTGTGAGCCTGCATGTCTCATGGTGTCTGAAAGAGTTAAAAAAACAGACTATTATCATCTATCCATCATCTAGGGAAATCGTAGTGGTGATGCTGTGCTCAGCTTTGGTCCTGCATGACTTCAGAGTTTAACTAAGGCCACGACATTTCAGAAAGGGCTGTTTTTCCCATGTATGGAGACCCACTGCGCTATAGTCAAGGGTAACAAGCCCACTTGTCATCAACTTTTGTTCAGAGTGCACATATGCAGTATAAGTAAAATGATGATAATGTGGCAATCGTTTATTCCACTTGTCAGGAAGGAGCCTTTGCAGTGGAGATCAGTATAAATTTCCCCTTTTTGGCAAAAAATATTTGTTGGCTCATGGAGTAAAGTTACAGCTATTCATCACTGATATTGCTATGTCTCTGTTGAGATCCAGACAGGACCAAAACCCTCCAGTTAGGCACTGCATCCATGCTGAACAGGAGGGCCTGTCCCAAAAACCTTTCATTTTAGCATTTCTAGGAAGCTAAAAGACCACTGAAGTCCTGCATGTGTAGCCCTTGGATGTATTAGCAGCCAGTTTTCTGGCTCCCTGTGAGGATGCAAGGAGCAAGCTGGCCAAAACACAAAAGACCAACATGCAGGTTGCAGCTTTTCAAGGCGTTGTTCAGAATTAGACCGAGGAGCCGGCTTACCTGAAACATCTGCAAAGTTTTCATGCTCTGCTTTGTCTTCCTTCTTAACCTCATGTATTTCCTTTACAGGACTGTGAAATAGCAGCGTGTCCTCCCCATCCAAATAGTCCCGAGGCCAAGAGATCCATATCGGGCGTTCACAGGACGCAGTGGCGATTTGGATCCTGGACACCAGTAAGTGTGTGCTGTAATGCTCTCAGGATTGTTTTCCAGTAGACAGTGTGCTATTTTTAAGTGCGTTTGACCAGCTTTGTACTCCCCCACCCTTGCAATGCATAACAAGCAACTTCCTAGCGGACTTGCCCGTCTCTCTTTCCTAGTGCTCGGCAACGTGCGGGAAAGGCACCAGGATGCGATACGTCAGCTGTCGGGACGACCAGGGCTCGGTGGCCGACGAGTCGGCTTGCTCCCACCTCCCGAAGCCATCGGCCACGGAGATGTGCACCGTGACGCCGTGCGGGCAGTGGAAGGCCTTGGAGTGGAGCTCCGTAAGCATCGTGCTCCCCAGCACAGAGCTGTGTAGACCTCGGTGCTGGAAAAGGGTTCCAGCAGCCTGTTATGTTCGCATGTTTAGAAGGGGGGAAATGGAGGTTTTTAGCTGCTCTGTATTAGCAATAACTCTGTGGGTGTTTTCTAAAGCTGGAAATGTGACCGTGTCTCCTTTTTCCCCACTGTAACGCAGTGCTCAGTGACTTGTGGTCAAGGTAAGGCAACGCGACAAGTGATCTGCATCAATTACAGTGACCAGCTGGTGGACAGAAGCGAATGCGACGCGGATGACCTGCCTGCCACCGAGCAAGACTGCTCCGTGTCTCCTTGTCACCCAAACAGCCATGATTACGGCAGGCCCATCCACCCTTTCCTCTACCCGGACCATCGTCTCAAGCTGCAGCCGGGAGGCAGCACCAACCGAAACCGCGCGCATGTCCCAGGGGGCAATCAGTGGCGCATCGGCCCCTGGGGTGCTGTGAGTGCCCCCACTTTGTTTTTGTCTCTTTTATTCCTTTCTGGGCAAACTTTGGCTTTTTTTTTTTAATGTCACTGCGCGAGGTAAGGAGGGAGCTCGTGAGACCGTGCCGTGACACCGCAAGGCTCAGGGCGCCTGCTTGTGTCACAAGGATGATCAGGGACCTGGAACATCTGCCCTATGAGGAGAGGCTGAGGGAGCTGGGCCTGTTCAGCCTGGAAAAGAGAAGGCTGAGAGGGGATCTAATCAGTGTCTAGAGGTACCTCAAGGGAGGGAGTGCAGAGGATGGTGCTGGTCTCTTTTCAGTGGTGGCCACCGACAGCACTAGAGGTAGTGGCCACAAACTGAAGCACCAAAAGTTCCACAGGAACTTAAGGAAAAAAATTTTAACAGTGAGGGTGACAGAGCA